CCACACTCACCTAAATTGTATTAAGAAAAATAATTCGATATATGTTTTTCTCCACTTCATTTAATTTAAATGCGTCAGAACGCCAATAACAACATGACATACACAAGACAAACATACGCACATATTATGCTCTACATTCTATTACAAGCTTACGAGTGGAGTTGATTTGATCATGAGAAAATCCTATAACTTTTAACCGGACTCAGGATTCAGAGATTAGAGGGCAAGCATCTCAACTACCAACCTAAGCTAAGTCTCCACTCATAATCATATTCCTTATAAGTAAATAGATTACAATTCTGTGCTCTGACCATCGGCTAATAAGTTCGAATCTTAAACTGACTTGACACCATTTAAGCCAGAATCTGGAGGAAAAAAAATAGATGTTGTACAACAAGACACAAAACGGGTGTTAAAAAATCAGTTGTACAACATAAAAACATTTTGTTAATAACACTATCGTCAGGGGCGGGTTTAGTTAAGGGAAGCAGGCCCCCATTTGGAAAATAAAAAGGACCTCGGACCCTCCTGGAGTAATGCTTTCTCTCGATCTCCCTCACCACCCCTCCCTCACCCCCACCATCGGACATCTCTGGCTTTGCCCCTGATTGCCAAAATAACCTTAGAGTTTAATTGGTATATTGCAAACTTAACACATAGCCTGGCCTCATAACACTATCGCCAGGGGCGGATATAGGTAGGGGAAGTAGTCAGGCCCGCCCGCCACCCCCTCAAAAAGGACATCGGACTCCCCTGGGGTGTGATCTCCGCGTCCCCTTTTCGGTCATCTCTGGTTTTGCCCCTGATCGCCAAAATCGCCTTACAGTTTATTTGGTATATTATAATATGTAATATTATCAGTACGGTACAGTATATCCTAGATGTTGGACACCTTAGTTAAAATTAACCTACACCCACTCTTGCCTGTAGATAAGGTTTAATCCAATGAATGCGTGTCGGATCTATTCTCATTGCTGCTATGATGAATATAAAACAGTATAGTTATGATATCGGGGTTAGGATCCGTAATATTTTTCAAACGTGCATCATCATCATCATCACCCATCATCATCATCGTCATCAACATCATCATCATCATCGTCATCAAACGTACAAATCGCAAGTGATTTGGGAGAGAATCGATCCCACGACCTCCAGGTATAACAAACTCACATCGAAATATTATCTATATACCGTATAATATTATTATTATCATTGTTATTTTACTGTATATCATCATTACTAAATTGTGTTGTTAGCTGTTTGTGCCCTGAACTTCGAGCCGATTAAGGAAATGATTGTTTATTAGCAGTAGTAAATTTTAATCCGTATACAATCTTTTTTTAAAGAGTGTAATGCGTTTTTTAACGTGCATATGGGCCACATTGCACACGGGATAAACGGATTATCAGGCAGGAGGGAAACGGTTGGACTTGAACCGTGTACAAAAGATTAGAACTGGATCCACGGTTCAAAGCACATACATTTGCTAGCACCAATTAGCCGAGGCTAAGCTGCTCTTGAGTATGAGCCCCATCATTATAAAGCGACACCGAGAAATAGGAATTTTCTGTAATGAAATTAGTTCCTCAAGAGTTCCTGAATCTTTCTGAAGAACGTCCACCAATAATTGCGATGTGCAACCTTGGATTATGTTGCCTTACCATGCCTTTACTAATGTTTAGTTGAGAAACAAAATATCAATTGAATTGTAATGTAAGCTTAAATTGTATGACGCCTTGTTATTTGTGGTATCAGTATATTGATATGCATTAACTAATTATTGCTAACGAAAATTGACGTATTTCATCATAAACATCTCCGTTCTCATTCAATAAACAGATACAAAAGTGCTTTGCCGTTGTTGGACCGTGTAACCATAGAGGAAATACTCCATGGTATAACCAAGTACACATGGGCAAAGTAGGGCAGTGTATTGAGTTTAGATGTAAACACACTTGCTCAACAACATGGTATTTGTCATATTGGAAGACATCCAACTAATTAACTCTCTAAAATTAATTCTGGGTTTAATTTATTTTCAGAAACTTAAATGCGGTACTGTATACGTACACATGATTTAAACACAATGAAAAATAGACATTGTCTTGTAAATTTAGATTGGTCCCGCACCCCATTGGAAGAGCGGTTATGTGGTGTGGAAAAGTACAAACGGAGCTGCAGCTGCATGTGTGAATCTGCTTTGAGCGCCCACATACGTCAGAACATGGGTATAAGGTGTAATGACATTTATTCGTTATTAGCATTGAAACCTAATCTATTATCTAAATATATTTTTTAAATCTTAAAAGCCAGTGAAAATTAGTACTTATTAAAGAATTTTTTTACGCTATTAAGGAAACAGTATACCGTATTATTTATTTATAACATTATTTGTTTTGCCATGCTTAATTTTAATGCCATGTTGGACGACTGTTATTCCCAGTTCGTCAATAAAATATATATCCATCTGGCTATCCATCCATCTATTTATCTATCCTATTCATGTGCCACCGTTTGGGACGTTGCTATTAATTTATCGTGCCCTATTCTTCGATTAAGCTTGGTTTCCATTCAATCGCTACACGCTATCATCGACAGATGCTGATTGGTCGGTCAAATCGGGGAGCCTTCTTCCCGATTGCGTCGGGGACTGTTACGCAGTACAACAATTGCACTGAAAACACCACTGTAGGTCTAGCGGCAGAGTAGTGATTTTAGTGAAACCAGGCTTCAGATACAAATTGCAGCTCAAAAAAGCCAATTCGATCAATCGACACAAACAAACAAACACACACACATCACAACATATGTTAATATCGATTGATCTTGCATAGCACTGGATTTGCAACTTATTTGTTTTGAAGGTTTACGTCATTAGACACGATTCAGACTGTCAAAAAACATGGGGGAGTGGGGAGTCAAAGCTTATAACGACGACACGAAGAAAGTTTGGCTGGGATTCAAAGATTACTCGACGGCACCAAGAAAGGTGGATGGGGAGTAAGACTATTACGACGACACTCGAATATGCATATTAGGCCTACCGGTTAAATTCGAAGTTCCATCCAAGGACTCATTGGCTCTCACTGCCTAAAACCAGGGTCCCGGGCAATAAGGGCCTCTGGATATTAATTGACATTTTTTTTTGTGCCAGGGGACCATGGCTCGATCGGGATCCTTTAGTAAGCAGAACGTGTAAACAGATATCAGTTTACACCATTAAAACTTCAAAAGCGCCGTGCAGTACACGGGGCTTCGCGCCCCATATCTTACTAGAGCCCTTCACGACCAACCCCCCTCCCCACGCAGTAGTAGGGCCTGATGAAACATTATGATAACAATAATATAATATTTATTTGGCAATCATCAATAACAATTATAGCCTGACGGAATAGGCACAAGCCCAAACAGATACTGCACTCACTCCACCTTATAAATAAAAGAAATGTACACCAATCAAGTTTTGTAATTAACAAAAACAAGAATAAAAGCAGGAAACTAAAAATTACGAAGAAAATACAAATAAAGAAAAACTAATATAATGAAATATGGTATTTAGTTAGAGCAAATTTAAAAGATGAGATTGATGAAGAATTTTGAATTACAGGTGGTAATTGTTCCCATAGGGAAAGATACAAAAACAGAATTTAGAATAACTTTTCGCATTCCAATGGAAAAGTCTGCCCTCACATCTTTCATTAATTTTAACATATTCATTAAATGCAGGAGGACAAAACCATTCAAAATCTTAAATCCTAATGTAAGTTTATGTAGCTTAAATAAATCATCAATACTCAGTCTTCAACCTGTAGCAATAAGATGTCTCCCACGAATCTTCTTTCCTCAACATTATTATTCTTGTTGTTGGTCAGGGGAAGGTCTCATTATCAAGCCACTGGGATTCATACAAGAGGATAAATTATATTTTTGTTATCACCATGGCTGTACAATGGTAACGTATCAATTCTTGTTACCGTTTGCTAAACGTATTTTTTTAAAAAGAACGCCAATAGCAATTTCCTGAAAAGCTAATAAAAGCACACGGAAAACATATTAGTTTGAGTATGGTATTGAGTTGTATTCATTCATGAACACTGCAGGTGATTGAAGTGTTTGGCAGCAGAACAAAAACAAGAACCAGTCAGAACACGATTGAAAATTAAGTCGGTTTGCCTACTGTGTTAAAACATTTTACTCCTGTCAATACTCTACGCTTCCGTTATGATGTCCTCCAGACTTCAGCTTATAATAAGTTATCTATTCCATATCAAACAGAGCTAGCTTACTCAGCTACTCTTACTTGTAATAATATAGACCTCATTCACAAAAAAAAAGATGCACAGTGACAATGGTATGTTCATTGTGTTCCTTCTTTTTATAATGTAGTAACGTTTTTCAAATGTGGACGTATTTAAATCTCACTTTCGTTTATATTTTATTCAATATTGGTGATATTCATTCCGACGATTTTACACAAATCTGTCAGGTGTCAATTGGTGGACCTGGCTTGTAACCTTAAACTTAATTATCGCTATCCTAATGCACTACAGCATTTTGGAAAATGACCCATTTCCTATTAATGTTAACCTTTTATTTTGTGTGAAACTTGTTCGAATAAACAAAAATAAGAAAAGGTGGAATTATTTCATAAGTGAAATCTGCTTTTCAGTTGCTTCTTTAATCACGAAGAAGCACCGTTTCCTTTATTTTTCAATTACTATTCCCGATTCACGGTGGTGTATATTGTGCTGGGCCATAATAAATGATGGTCAAGGCCTACATACAGTACATACTATATTAAAATCCATATGCAAGGCATAACGACATGAATTGGCAAGTTTTTGTATTCGTTTCTTATGCTTTTACCGTACTGTATGTTTGATGATATCTACACTGTACCGTCCTTTCAGAGACGGAGGGCCTAGACCCCCTAAGCCCCACCATGTTTGGGGCTGAGGTAAGAAAATTATTGATTATAGCACCTCTATAAGGCCAGAAAGGGGACTCTCAAACCTAAATTTAATTATAATTTTCCTTTTTTTCTCGATTTTGTTTATAATTTTGAAAAAAATTAGAAAAGGGGGGTGGGGGGTCGCTTGAATCCGCCACTGAACGTACAAGTTAAATAATGATGTCGTTGATGCTGCTAATGATGTGATGATGGTTCTGCAAAATGATGATGGCGATGATGATGATGATAATGGTGTCTCCCAAACGCATATTATGTAGGCCTATGCGTGTGTTTTTACTCTGTCGTTTTGCGGGACCTTAGCAACAAATAGGCCTATCCAAGGGCGGGGCTTAGCCAAATGGTCCATTTCAAATCTACCAACCAAAACGAGAGGGAAAACGTGTATGAAAGACCCATGGACACAACCAGTGCCAAAATTGGATCCCGAACTTAACGTGTGACAGTCCGAATAGCAACATTGCTACATAGCACCCGCACCCTGCATCCGAAATTAATTTAATAATTAGTATTTTGAATAATAGTTTGACTGCACTAAGCCAGATAGAACTAGTAACAACAAATTATATAATCGATTAAATGCAACAGGTGCAACGAACTCAATGGTTAATGGAACATGACTTCTATAACACGAAATTAACACAATCAGCACAACCAGTCTTGTTTATTGCTTGCCATTGTTATCATATTGTTTTTATATTATAGGCCTATTAAGTCGTGTAATAATTCCGTACCCTCAACCCCCGTGAGTTTGGCTCCTCTTTTTTTCCCCTTTTTTTTTAAAGAAAAACTTCGCTCTTTCCAAATTTTAACAAAATATATCGTGTTACCCACCTCCTGATGGTTACGTATTGACCACTGTTTGCCTTGTGCTCTTAGCAGGATTATACAACAACTTATGAATGAATCATCATTGGATGCAGTGGACATGAAGTGATCCTCTGCGCTATATAAATCCATATATGTATATTTACTTTTAAGAGATGTGTATAGGCCGATAAAATTTCCCCTTTTCAAGGATCCACCATTTGGCTACGCTATTTTATGAAATAGGCAATTGTAAACCTGATCAATCAGGTGGGACCTTTCAAGAAATCACCAAGACAAAAACCTCCAATATTGATTCATAAAGCTGGTTTTCTACTAGGCGAATTTATTCGCGCGAATCAAAGCGTCGGTTCGCTTCCTGAGCTCTGATTGGTTGCGCATTTTTTTCGCTTCGCAAAAACTCCGATAGAAATGTGAACGGGCATGCGCATGAACCGACGCTTTCGATTATTATTTCGCCTAGTGGAAAAATGTAATGTAACCCCTGGAAGTATTTTTCTCGCGAAGAGCTAAAATATGCTAAATGCTTTGTTTTATTTTTATATTAATACAAGACTCAGGCCAGTAACCAGGGATTTTTTAATGGTTTTTTGGGCGAACTCTTCTTTTCTCATGAGCCCCCCCCCCTCCTCTATTCTGGCGAAACATTCCCACCCACTACATGATATGCGATTTTTTTTTTGTCTTTTGATGCGATAGCCATGCCAATTCGCAGTGAATAATATTTTCTCTAATTGATTTCATAGCATTAATAAACACAAAATCGCTCTGGCTTCCGGGGCATTGGCCCCAGACCCCACAATAAGGGTGGGCGGACCCTGGTCCGGAGAACCCATGGAAGAACCTGGATGCGGGCATGAGACTCAATAAATTAAAAGCATACTCACATCTTGTATTATTGTTGAATGATATTGCGAAGTGTCGTAAACCCATCCATCGGAACAGTTAACAATAGGCCAACTATCATTAACAAAAATATCGAAATCATCCTCAAACTTGTACCTCCTGCAATGCCGCTCCTGGACGGATGTATCGGGATCATCTTTAACAAAAGGCGACTCATTTGTACACGTCCCCGGCGGAAAATCATAAACGCTACAGTTAAATGAGCCTGCAGATGGATTTTTACACCAATGATCAGTTTCAGCCGCTATAAATACTTGCGCCAAAAAGTGGATACCAACAGGGATTGCTGTAATCAAAAGTAAAGCGTAAACACGTTTTTGGTAGCGTCCAAAATCGCCAACCGACTTGAAAACATCGTCAAATTGCATCTCAATTTGTCGTTCTTACGTCTTCACCGACTAAGCTTGGGAGTACAACTGCTGAGCAGCACAACTGCTGAGCAGCACAATTTGAATCCTCAGTATTTATTATCACAAACATTGAGGGCGGTGTGCAACAGTCTCTGATAGAAGGAACTCTAGTCTCTGCTAGAGTTCCTATAGGAACTCTAATCTTTGCTAGAGTTCCTATATAGCGAACTCTAGTCTCTGCCTGCGGTTTCTGATTTCTGTCCAAAGCGTGTATTTATTTTATTTTATTTATTTCAACAATATGTTGTGACGGTGGTCCAACCACCAAAGCTGATCAATTGAGACCCTCAGTACATACAAGAGAATAAAACTAGATCTTTAACATTAACAAATTAATTAAATTAAAACAGAAAAATGAAAAAAAGAAAAAGAAATAGGACAAAATGAAAAAACTAAAATGACATATTAAGTATTAAAATAATTGAAATAATAAATTAAAACTCCAAGAATGTTCCGCACAGCACGTTTCTGGATGATACTCAAACGCCTTAGACTGTTGCTTCGTTATCGAAGAGTGACATACCGTCCAAGCAGCAGGGCGGATTCACGGGGGGGGGGGGGGGTGGCGATCGAGAGACATCACTCTACACAAAATTGTTGTTTTCTAGACGCCCGGAAATAGCCTCTGAGGCGTTTTGGGCTAACAATAACTTTTATTTTCTTTCCGGCCTCACCCCTCAACCTAAAATCCGTCCCTGGTCTATGCCGTACAAATTATACGTACATGTAAAACACCACATGTATTTCTCCGTTGGATTAATAAATTTCCTTTCGCATACAAATCAGTGGCGGATTCCTAGGGGTGGGGGGGGGTCAAGACGGCCTCTAAAAGTGCCATGATAATTTTCTTTCTTCAGCCGCAATTATGGTGGGCCTTAGGTGGGTGGGCGTTCTGTCTGTGAAACTCCCTCCCTGCAACCCCCCTCCACACCTCTATTTCGAATTCCTGGATCCGCCACTGAAAATGTTACCACAATATTTATTTCAAAGCAAAAGAGAATGAAACAATGCCAACAGTTAAAATCATGAAACATAATTTGGCATAAAACGAAAGGTCCACTGATTAATCTCAGATAAGATAGTATAATACATACTCCAATTATTGAAATGCACGCCATCGTGTTGGGATTCAATATTTCGACATTAATTATGTCATCATCAGGAATAATTTGACATACAATAGAGTCTAGTCCACTTGCTTCTGCTAACGAAGTGTGCATAATTGTTATCGATTACAAAATAGGCCCTATAAAATACAAGAAAACTCAAACGAACCTTGTTGATTTGAATTTAAAAAACGGCGAGTTTTATTTTAGTCATAAATATGTTATTTGTAGGCCTTCGCCTTAATGCTACTTGTTGCAAATTTTCTATTAATTGATACCAATTGTTGACTGATACTGTAACCTAGTTCTAATAGATCCATGTGTACAAGGCCAGATTAACATAGGGACTAGATATTATCTATTATGACTGAAAACATTTAGCTTATGCCAATATATATAATGTTATCATTGAAATGTCTAGGTATGACCAACAAGGCTTATTCACTGATATCTATGATCTATGAAGTGATGTGAATGTTTGTGAACAGCATATAAACAAAGCAATCAGATTTTGTTATGAAGATGGTAAAGGTAATGTCGATATACAGTAAAACCCCGAATTGAAGCCCTGGGCTTTTTTTTTTTTTTTTTTTTTGCGAACTTTGAATGAATGGGCTTCTTTTCGAGGTCACTTTTGCAAAGTAAAGTGGGGGCTTATTTTCAAAATGAATGTTGTAAATTTTGGGAAATAGTACTATAAAACAATAAATTTACGGCCATTGTAACATCAATCTGTATTAACCGACATTGAATCACCTTAACTACTGTATAAACCAAGCATATTTTAAATATATTTTCTTCATTTGAAGAATGTACAGTCATACTGTACTATCTCGAAAAGAGGCCTATGCTATCTTAAAAAGAAGCCCATGGGCTTCTTTTCGAGGCTAATTTTGCAAACTGAAGAGGTGGGCTTCAATTCGAGATGGGCTTCTTCTCGTGATTACGCCCAGTGGGCTTCAATTCGAGGTTTTACGGTACTTGTAAAGTGCATACTACAAATCGTCTCTATGCGCTGAAAAAACACATAACAGTTCAAGTGCACAAAAAAGGAAAAAAAAAACAAAACAATAAAGAAAAGGAATCTAGTTCAGAATCAATATACAGAGAAAAAGATCCGATTAGAGCCAAAGACAGTCAAAGATGGCGGGAACGCACAGTCTCAGGTAGTTGGTTCCAAAGTATCGGAGCAGCAAAAATAAAGGAACGATTACCACAATGTTTAAGGTGACCAATAGGACAGTTAAGAAATGGTAAATAAAGATGAGGTAGGCCTAAGAAGGCCTTAAGCCGGGCCGGCCGCCCAGTCACTCACTGCGCCCGACGGTCACGATTCTATGGAAAACGCAACGCCTCGACGTGCGCACAACGGATCGTTTTTAATGGCGATTCGTTCAGCCACCATCGACAATTACGCAGACGCGGCGTCGCGTCGTCTAGCGCTCACGGGGAGCATAGTCGGATTCGTCGGACGACAGTCGCACGACCATCGTATGGAGTACCTTCATTGAGTAGATTATCAATAAACACAAAGGGGAAAGTAAAAGTGAAACATGGAAAAACCTTCCAAGGTGATAGCAAGTCAGATATTAAATTACACTGCTACCACTACCCCAGGATCGTAATGATTTTGAGAAAGTTCGTTGTCGTCTGGTCCGTAGTCTTACCATGGAGGTATAAACATGTTTTTATACCTCCATGGTCTTATAAAGTTATGTATGTTCAGTTTATAAAATAAAGTGAACACACATACTAGGCCTAGATGTCAACAGATCCGTACGGTACCGATGTGGTGCAGATGAGGGCATATTCCCAGGACGCCGAACTTGGGGGAAGGGGAAACAAAATGAGCTCGGACAAAAATTATACGGGCTTCCAGATGAGAGATTTTTGGCGGAGTTGTACTGAAGTCAGTAAGTATAAATTATAGCATACAGGATGCCGAACATCGCAAATGTGTGATGCTTATTCTTGCCCCAGGCGCCAAAACCATCATTTACGCCAGGACCTAATGACACACTAATACGCCTCTAACTATTGTATTGAGTTCGAAACTCAGTTTGTTATTATTCTGAGTTGATAATTTCATTATTATTAAAAGTATTCTTTGGTTCAATTCATTTGTTTTTCACGTAACTTCCAAATTGTATTTTCCACTTTAAATACATTACAATTATTTAAAAATAAAAATCATAGCAAGTTGTTGTGTTATTTGCAGTTCTATCACTTATTTCCATTTGGTACCCATTAATGTTCACTGACTGTAATGGCTAATTAATATAATAAGGTTGCTCGGAAGCTCGGTCTAACAGTTGAACGTCTGTGATAGCTTGCCTCCTGGTAATCACAGAGGTTTATCTATTACTAAGGAAAATACAAAGCGAAAATTAGATTTGAAGTGAAATATTAGGATAATTGGTTTGGGAAGTCTCAGACAAACAACATCAGGTTATTACCGTTCAACACTGCTTCTTATTTGATGTTATAAACATTACATCGCTCAAATCTTGGCTCCTTTGCGTGCGTGCGTTAGTGCGAGTCTAAATTCAATGATTGAATCGACTATGAGACAGTGATTTTAGCATGCTTCAAAACGTGTTTTCATTTAAATTGAGTGATCCAACCATTAACGCAAATCAAGCTACACACTCCGAAACAACCTGGTAACATTTATTTTATTTTAATATCTTTAGGCCCTTATTATATAATTGTATTTTGTATTTTAATGTTACAAATCATATACATCAATATTACAAAGCTCTAAGTATTTAACATAAAGAATTTGTAGGCCCAAAATTAATATGATGGTAACCCGTGAGAGAATAAACATAAATTCATATTTCAAGTGTTATGCCTAAATGCAAATAACCTTAGTGATTATGTTGTTGTCAACCACACTAAAGACATATTTTTATTTATTTATTTTTTTTACCAGGATGTGACGTCTACTAATGTAGTAGCCGCTGATTGAATACTATTAGTAAGTACAGCCAGTTGTTTCTCAACAGATCTCCAGCGTTGTTCCTCGTCCTTTAATTGCAAAGCAGCCAGCAGTCCTGGGAACGGCCCAAGGCCTATCGATGAGAATAGAACGTTCCTGCAAAATAATAATTATTATAATGATTCGATGTATATTGTATAGGACTATAATGAATGTTTTTGAGTGCAATGTTAAGAATGTTTTCATGAGCTTAAGGTTTGTCTGTTGCATTTAAGGATGCGGAGTTCAATGGAAGAGTCATGAAAACCTTATTTCTATTGCGCGAATAAAAAACATTAATTATTTGTTTCATAGAACACCTAAAATAAATTCTTGTCATTCGATAATTTATGAAAAATGGATGGAACTAAATGTTCATGATGAGTGACGACATGGTGTAAATACCTAATGTCACGTGATACGAAATTCATCAATCAAATGACATCTATTTAGATGCGTTATAAAGCGGCTTAAGAGTCTTAAACCAGGGAGATGTTGCTAAAAGGGAAACATAACCCATATATGAAAACGTACATAATTAGATAGATGAATGGATGAATGAATGAATTTATTTCGTGTAAACATCAAGGATAAGCCACTGAAGTATGGAGAAGATTTATTACCAGTGATGTCCATCAGTGGTGATTGGGCAGCACACCCTACTCTTTTCCAAAGAGTGTAGGCCTACTTAAAAAGATTATCACTATGTATAACACCAGATATTATTCAATTGATGTACCAACGAGATCATGCAAAGAAACTGTCAGACAAGCGCAAAACAAAACAACACTTAGACGCTTATAGAAAATTAAGAAATGACTTCACTATTAATTTACTCATAATTTATAAATGTAGTCTTTCAATCCTCCAAATTGCAGCCGCCATACCCAATCCCACTGAGTATATTTTTTGTGCTCACACCAAATTGAAGTCAGTGGAAACTCTTAAATTTGAATAGAGTGCCTTTTGTGAATTACGAATATCAAAAATGGGTGGATGTAGTTCTATTAAATAATGACACGGTATAAAGTTATGTTAACAGATAGTCAGGACTATTTCGACAGAACTTTTAGGAAATTCAAAACTAGTTTCATAGACGTACCACATATTGTACACTGGCTAAAAATTATTATAAGATAAATACTATTGACCTTACTCGATGAAGCCCACAACGATTGAGGATTTATTTCTATACTTTACTTACACGGACACAACTATATTTTTACTATAATGTAGGCGTACCTTTGTATTCCTTGACGATCTTTCAGTCTTGGCAACTCCTCTCGGTTCATGAAAGCTCGATCGAGTAACATCATTTGGTCATTGATCCTCCGTACATCCAATACTCTATTTAGAATTATTACACACGGTGTTATTATAGATGTTCAAACTTTATTTCAAAATTGCATTATAAAAAATCCTGCAATTTCAGTTGCAGTCTTGTTTAATACCGAACTTAAGCTAAAAAAGTTATGCAACGCAAGAGGGAGCTGTGAAAATAATAGACAGTGAAATGAATTATTGTAGCAAAATGTGGTTTTTTTTTTATAAAGCTGTCCAAACTATTAAACTTTACGTGAAAAATTCGTGTGATGTGCCCATATTTCATAGTTATTTGTTACATGAAAGTGTGGAAAAAGATTTAGATGTTTCTTACTTTGCTTTATCTATTTTTGCTAAACTGTCACGGAAATGTGCTGCCGCGGATGAAAAGTTAGATATAGCATCTTGAAGAAAATCTGCATGATATAAATATAAAAACATAGTTCATTATTATATGGCATATGTACATATCTATAATATATGCACATAACGAAATATACTGCCATACAGGAAAATGTGAACGGCAGTTAAAGATAACATTATTGTCTGTGATAAAATCTTAAAAACAAGTTCACAAATTTCATGAAACTTTCAATAACTTTCAGTTCGGACACAGACAAAAAAAAAATGACAATGAATATATAATTATTTGTGTGATTACCTAATGTCATTCCATGGTCTGCGAGCTTTTCAGTAATATTCGGTGGTGAGTAGTATGCAAATTGTTGAAGCTGACTATGAATATAATCGGCGTACAATTCAACGTTCATTGGTAAAATATACTCGTCACTAAGTCGGCGTAGCATTTCAGCAAAAAATTGTGCGACAGCAAGGTGTGTTTTAAAACCCGGATCAATTATCTCATCCATTAATCGAAATGTTTCGTATGATGTGTGATATAGTGGATAAAACGATTGCCAGACTTCGTTCTGTGGTGTGAGAGAAACATTTGATTAATTTTATCCCTATTTAGACAAGTGGTAGAACGAAAAGTGAAGATGTGGATGAATTCAAGAAGCAAAAACGGTGGAGTTGGGAAACATATGAAAAACATAATCAATAAGGCTAGATTAGCATTTATGAGATTAAGGAAAGTATGGTAGTCTGCAAAGGAAGAATGACACAAATTACACTTTACAAAACCGTTGCAGACCAGAGAAACATGGAAAAATGAACCAGAGTGATAAGAAAAAGCTAAATTCATTCCAGTACCAATGCCTGAAGAAATATCTATTGACGATCTTAATAATGTAACAAACACGTCTCTTAAGATCAGAGTTGAAGTAGGATGGAAATGGATCGGCCACATCCTAAGAAAACCAAATAGAAATCACTGCATGACTGCCCTGACCTGCAAGCTAGCGGGCTAGGGTAGAAATTTTGGCAGGCCCAAAACAACTTGGATATGGGCAGTATAAAAATAAAGAAATGAAAATGGATGGAAGTCTTGGAATAAAGTTGGGAGATGTGCAAAAGATGCAGACAAATGGAAAACGAGCGTCGCGGGCCTAATGTGCCATGAGACAAGAAGATGATAGGTAAGTAAGGTAATAGTCACGTGGTATGGAGGCGGTGCTTCTGTTACCAAGTACATACTCTGCGAGAGAACCCCATGAATACTTTCGAATAATAAAATCGTTCGTAGTTTTAAAACAAAATATAAAATATGATTATAATGTAATACTTACGAAATTCATGAAGTAGAAAGCACTAATACACGAAACACCAACATCATACATAAACGCCTGGTGATCACTTCCAGGAGATACCATTGGTACACTATTCAAAAGACGAATGGTAACGTTTTCAGTTAAGGCAGTGGATATTGTTAGTACGGAGAAAACATTCATTTACACGTTTTCGTGATTATTAGTGACGGCGCACTCCAACTCTAATCTTAAGGAAAGGAACATTCGAGTTATACATATTGCATATGGATGGAGGATTTGCATAGCATTTCCTATAATAGAATTAATTTTAAATAGTTTAAACACAGGTATGGTATGTAAAATGTGTATATTATTGGTCATACTAAGGCAGGCTTTCTGGATTTGAATAATTTTCTGGATTCCTGGCCTTCATCGTGTCATACAACGTTTTACGACTTGTAGATGGGCGTGGATCAGGAACCTAACAAGAAAAAAGACATGCTCTTATAATAATGAAGTTTACCATTTGATAATAAGCCGGTATTGGGTCTGAATCTAGTAATAGAGACGTACATATATATTTATAATTTTTATACAAGTATAAACAATTCATTAAAGCAAAGAGATAGAACTGCAAGAGTTCCGACTATCGGGGTCTCGTTGTACTGTCACGAACTAGAGGGCGTCCTTCAAAAGGTCGTAAAACCCTGTATTGAGTACAGCAGCGCCATTGATGATATGAGTTTATGCGTACATGACAAAATAATTATTCTGATGAACATTTAAAACAGTGTTCCCCGTGGCTGGTGCATTTAGTCTTTACCTAAAAGGCGTTCGTAAATAAAGCTCCCCCTATCTCGTGGTAGTACTTTTTAAACATTTCATTGCGTGCATAAAAAAATCAGGGCAGTCGGACTTCTTGTCATTTTATACTCTTGATGATTAAGGGCACATAGAAAAATTATTAGATTATCACTCTATATTTTTTTAATTGATGAGGGAGGGCGGTTTTTCCCCCCTTTTTTTTTAATCGGTACAATAAATTATTTCGCTTGTGTTTTTATCGATGAGGGAGGGACTGTTTATATTTGGCCTGTACCCGGGCCTGTAATAGTAAATATTTATAAAAGCTGGTTTAATTTTATAGTTTTTTTTTAAAGAAAATGTATTTGAAGTCACGAAATTGCATTGTTATTTTATGCTGTTGAAATAATTGATGCGGCAAAATAAATTTTTTTTTATTCCCGCATTAATATTTCCCTGGATTTTTGACGCGGGCGGGAGTGATAATCTAATAAATTTTTATACTTGCCCTTATTAATGGCAATTCCCCATTTGCTTTGCCAGATTAAATAAAATACTAATCCGTGTTGTGGACTATACTCTAAAGCAGACCCGGTCTAGACTAGACTCCCCCACCCCGTCAGCAAAATTCTGAAAATATACTGTCGAATGTCTGCCATGTCATGGTTCAATCCCATGAATATCACAACAAAAAAAAAGCCTGGCTGGATAGTTAAGGTTAACGAATGTCGTACAAAATGCTTTTTATATACTATTACTTTCGAGACCTTTTAATCGAAGCTCGACCACGCCCACTTTGCTTTTGTCGGGGAAATCTGACCCCTCGTCGGGGCATCGGCCCCCTCGTCAGGGACCTTATTTTCCGATAAAACTACCCAACCAATCATACTAAGTTTTATATCAGCTTCAAGCTTATGATATTCCCTTCACGAATCCACTTGGGCCAATTCGAACAAAGCAATAGTCTGTGAGTGAGGAAGTAAGAAACGAGCTCGGAACAGCCAAAAACCTCAAATTTCTTGAAATTGCCTATCTAAATCGGCGTGAGGAGCTGTTATAAATTGGCGTATTCCGACAAAACTGTAGGGATTCTTTTTATTTTTTCTTCACGAATTGGAAGATTAATATTTTTTACAACATAATCCGCTTGGGCCATTACAAGAAAATCATAGATTTTGTACCAAAAATGTATTTTTGTGAAAAAAAATCCAGTTTTCTCCAATGGTTAAGGCGACCTTGGAGAGCAAATGATACAACGTTTCCATATAAAATTCACATGTACCTCTGTACGGTATGAAATGACTTTCGTTCAGGGTGGTAGTTTGGATGTGTTCACATGTATCGTAATAATGATAAATGCAGGTTTGAAGTAATCGTATACCCACTGAAATGCTTACCAGGCTTAAGTTAGCAAAATCTCTCCATTATCCACACAAATGCTCACATCAAAAGAAACAATAATACAGTAAACGGTGTGCAGATATGTAGGTCTATTCTACCACATTTAAAAGTTTGGTTATAGGTGCTAACCTTTTTCGATGCTTCTAAAACCAATTCGACCAGATGAGGCGATGCAGAGGGCATTAAAACGTAGTCGCCTTGTAGGAAAAATAAACATGACAATAGAGTAGTTAAGTCATTTATCAGTTTAAGATTGTGGTTCCAGTGACCTGAACTGAATTCTTTTTAAATTTAAGGGGGAATTAAATATCAGTTACGTAACATAGAAAAGTTCAAACTAAAATTGACCAAATCAATTGACCTTAAACCTACCTGCTACAGCTATATCCAAGTTGAGATATACAACTGCACGCTCGACTAGATTCATATAAAACTCCTGAAAAGTAGACATTTAAAAGTTCACGTTATTTATGATCACCTCCTATAACACACACAATAATTTACGATTTTACAAGAGTTCGCTCTATGCTTACCTCCGTGTATTCGGTAGAACCAATTATAGCAAACTCCTCTGCTCCCCAACTGCCAAAGATGAGGGTGCGGCGAGGGCGCCATCCTACGATAAAATAAATCAGTGAACAACCTTTACCGTAAATAAGCGCCGCACCAAACATGATTTTTTTTCGTAAAGCGCCGCTCTCTCGAATAAGCGCCGCGGCGCTTATCGAGAGTATATAATATTACCCTGTGTGTAATGAAACAGGGTTTTAAATTCAATGTATACAGTGTTAAAATGAATACATAACATAATGAAGACACAAGCATTTCTTATAAACGTTTGTTCACGATGATAGGACCTATGATAGGCCTACTGAACTACGGGAAATCGTGAAATAGGTAACATGGAAACGGGCAATGAAAGCGCCACGCCGCTCTCGAATATGCGTCGTTCTTGAATAAGCGCCGCACTGAAGCCGCCGAAAATTGTATAAGCGCCGCGGCGCTTATTTGAGCATTTACGGTATTATAACCTCCACTTTCCAAAAATACAGTCACCTACGTATGGGAAAATAGAATTTGCTTGTGCTGTGATATATGTAAACGTTTGTGCCAAATAAGGGTACTAGCAGACAACGAGAGTTGTGCATATCACTTCTAGAAAATTTGTAAAGGTGATTTTTCTAAGCTTCTAAGGTGATTAGATTTAATTTTTCGTTGTTTGTTGATGGACGAAGAACTACATTTAGAGTGTAGCTTATGTATTTAAAAAATATCGGCAGCAGCAAAATTAATACGAGATTGTACGAATACCGAAACCCTTTCGGTGTTCGTATTCGTGTTTCTGCATAAATATTAACAAACTCGGATGGGTCTATTTCATAAATGCAAAATAGATTACTGTATTTACAATGCACATCAAGCACTTTTAGGACTATACGATGTGCAAATGGGTTTTCAGTGATTTAATTTAAGGACGAATCCAGGAATTCGGAACAGAGGGATTGTAAAAAATTTTAATAGATGGAGGATCGAGAAAATCTCAGCCCCACAAGTGTCGGCACAGCGGAATACAATTTTATGACTATGGCACATATGGATGGCCAGAAATGGCACCCACAGATTTAAAATTGAATGTAATTTTCCATTAATACTTTTTTAATATTCAAAAATTTAGAAGCCCGGGTCGCGTGACTAATTCGCCAATGTAAATAAACAGATGGCTAGTCTAATGAATGTGTAGGGATTAAATTCCTCGCTGGTTATTGCGCCAGTACACGTTTACCAGTAATTTTTAACTCTTTGCGTTTACAACACCAGAGCCTTGCTATTTAATAAATAATTTCCATGACCAATTTATTACGAGACAAATCATTCCGTACCTTCTTTTTTCAATTTTCCAAATACTCGGGATATTTCCAAAAGACAAGCCGTTCCACTCTTGGCATCCACAGAACCCAGCACCCAGGAATCACGATGATTGCCAATCAATACGTATCGATCTATAGATAATACAAGTCGATATCAATCATTGAGGCTATTATTTTTTTTTTTGCAAACTTGCTACATTGCTAATGCTTAGGATTAAGAACCACAACATATTTGCAGCAGTAAGTTCTTGCCAATTAGTGTTTTTATGTTAATGACCTCCATTACCGTATCTGCTATTTTATTATAAATGTAATAATAATAATAATAATAATAATAATAATAATAATAATAATAATAATAATAATAATAATAATACAAGGGGATTTGTATTATAGCACACTATTATCTATATTTCAGATAAGCAAACACTAAGTTATAAGTAGGCCCATATGCTTAAAAAAAAACAACAATGATATCGTATCGTACCTGGTTCCACTTCGCCCCTGATGTAGCCTACGACATTGTAAGTCCACTTCCGGATTAACTTTGAGTTGATGAGAATACGTACTCGACTTACCCAATAAAAAGTATTATATGAATTATTATTAAATTATTATCATTATTAGTAGTAGTGTATTGTTATTGTTGCTATTAAATAAATGAACTATAGTATTGCTATTACATTAATATTTTGTATTTATTGCTATCATCGTTGTCGATGTCGTTTTTGTGTGCCCCAGGGGGCCTGTAGACACATAGCTATCATCTCATTTATAAGTAATGAAAGTAAATCCGGTTGGAGGAATGATGGGATGCGCAAGCATAGAAATGAAAAGTAAGCCTATACGATGTCATGCCTATATAAGATCTGTCCTAGAAAGAACTAGAAATTCAACAATCTGTTACTTGTACAATTCAAGTGAAAACAGAGAAAGCGCGGATGGGTTATAAGTTAAAAGTAGCCAAAAAATAACTATGTCCTGCTGGGAACCTATTTTTGTTCTCGTTGGGATAATCAGTTGCTTCCAATCGGATTTGAATTTCCAACGAGTTCTCAATGGCCCAGTAGATCGAGGCGTCTGAATGACAGCAAAAGTTTCGGGCTGAAATCGCGATTTGGTCACACCTCTTCAGAGATTCTGCGATATAATAATTACAGGTATATGGCTATAGCTTCTGGGCCCGATCCTTTGACTTTTTTCGCCACTGAATTTTTCAGGGGAATTTATCAGCCAAATTGCAGGCTTTTAAAGCAATTCAGTGTTTTTGCACATCAAAGTTAATACATTACATGATATGACTATTACAGTACGGTAATCAGTTTATTTTGTTAGAGCACTGAAGCTATTGAACGCGCATTGATACTTACAAGTTATTGTAAGGTGCAGCAAAACCCGGACCTATTTTGTAAGTGATGTTAAGACCACCACTCCACCACGTTGGTTTTTCTTTGCCCTTCATTTTACTTTTAAGAAATGTGAAATGTAATCATAAATACACTGCAAATTAGGCATTTTTGAATCATTATTTTATCTCAAGTAGCCTATGTCTATCACAAGCAATCAATCAATCAATCATCATAGATTTGTAGAGAGCCATTCAACATCCATTCTTTGCAGAATGCAATGTACAGTGGCGCTATTAGATCGGTATGACTATACGAATAAGAGTTTACCAGGGCCAATCCTCACACAATAGGCCTATGCCGTATTATAATGGTGTGGAAACACCTGCAAGTTCATATTACGTGTAAGCGCCAAAAGGCAACAAAAATTCATATTTTTACTGTCTCCTAAAAGTTCATAAAATGAATTATACTAAATTGTCTGAAAAATAATTAATGTAGGAAGTATATAAATTGAGATTATTATAGTTTTAATTTAAATTGTTTAAACTGTATTCATCTTGCAAACCCATCAGCACAAACTGTAGTTCTGATTGTTACTACATTGTATCACCCCTGAATTATATATATTTAAAACCGTCATTTACCTTAATAATTGCTCTGCGTCTCCGAATCCAATCGGATAAACTAATATCTTAGGCAGTCCTACTTCTTCTGGCTTTAAACGGTAAGCATATTCTATGAACCAATGGCAACATTATACCGTAGTTATTTCTGTGTAGGCTAAATGATAGGACGCGGTGATCTAATATACAAATACATTTTCATTTAATGAAGCACTGCAAGATGTTATTCATTATTCGTTAACATTACAGCGCACCCTCCAATTTGAGACCCCTAATTCCGAGACCCGACTAATTCGAGACCACGTTTTTAAAGAACCAAGTAACAACCTTTAATTTATTAACATAAGCTAACCATCTAAGTGGATACCGACCCATGAGACCACAGTTCAGGTCTCAAAAGGTGATCTCGAATTGGAGGGCGAACTGATCAATAACCGTGATATATATTTTTAAAATAAACTAGTTTCAAGTAATTCAATTAAAGTGGTGGGTTACACGTTGTTAGATGAGAATTTTAATAAATAATTAAATAAATAATTTTAGTTGTCGAAAACAGTTTACAGTACATACGGTACCTTTCGCCGGATATCCGGGGGTTAACGGATCGCCAGTTTTAATCAAAAGTGACCCTCTTGAAGTTCCGCTACTTGGCATAAAGATGCCGTCTGGATATGGCTTCTCATTGAAATAATGGTCTTCAGGATCAGGATCGGGATAAATGATAAGTCCCTTTGCACCGTAGTATTCTGCATTATACGCCTAAATATGTAAATTTTTAAACCTAATTAAAATGATATTATTATATATAAACCTAATTATATAATGATCATTATCATGATTATGATAACTATGATGACGAGAAAGACGATGGTGATGATGCCACTGCAATGAAGACGACGAAACTGATGATGCTAGTAGTAATGATGGTAATGGCGATACTATGACGTGCTTTATGGCAAATATGATGGTGATTGGTGACGGCGATGATGAGGGGGTGATGATAAAATCAAACAATATTACATAGAGAGCTGGCCCGTTTTATATATGTTTATAATAAAACGGAAAAGGCAATATATCTATTATTGGGTAACTTGTTAGGCCGGACACTCACTGCGCCCGACGGTCGTTGGCCGACGCGATTCTATGGAGAACGCAACGCCACAACGCGCGTGCAACGGATCGTTTTTAATGACGACCCGTTCAGACTGCCACCGAAACTCAGTAGACGGCGTCGCATCGTCTATCACTCATGGGGAGCAGAGTTGGATTCGTCGTACCGTACGACGATCGTACGACGCAGTAAGTGCCCGGAGTAATTGTTCCACTATGCTAGCCGTCATCTTCTTGAAGATACTGGGCTGTCATTGACCATGAGAATGGTTGACACAGCCATTGAGAGAGATCTTATTTAAATTTAATTTTTTATAAATGAATGAATAACTGCCACCAAGGTGGCCCTTAACAGGTCCTTCCGGGTCAGGAGGATCCCGGGACTCATCGTTGGGCAGGGGCGTTGATTTTCCTGATCAGGTCAAGCCTCATGCCTAGTGCAAGACAATCCCTGTGAATACCCAATCTAAGTAACACTACATGCGATTAGCGACAATCGACAATAAAATTTGACCAACGGAACTATGATTGTACAGAATATTAAAATATCGACTAACATTGAACCAATCGGAGACTTCGTCGGAGGGTTCATGTAAAGCAGTGTATCTATAATATACCAAACGTAGGCCTACATACCTTTTTAGCGCGCCCTAATCTGGAGAATTTTGCGATTAAAATCTTGTCTTGAAGAATAATTCCAAGTGTATTGTTTACGTATTCAAGATCATTCATGGAGCAATAGTTAACATACACCAAGTCGCCCTGTAAAAACAATAATAATACCAAAGATCTTATAAACACAAACACAAGATAGCGTTCTCCGCGATTTACGCGTGCAAATTCTGTAATAACGCATGAACAGTGCCCTCTTGCAAAATTGGAAACTTTTGAACCTTGACCGCTCTGACCATGACGTACGCAGCGTGACTATGGCTATGTTCAGACCATAGAGCTATTAAACAACTAGAGTGCTGACAAGATGGCGCAGCAATGCAGAGTTATGTATGTGTACCATCCAAGATGGCCGTCGTAGTAAAGCGCCACCTTCAGGCTTAGTATACATTTTAATACATATTAATAAGCCCTCTGACTGACTATTATTTCATTATTGATAATGAGTAATGGTAATAACAAATTATTAAACTATTGTAGCTAAAACGAGGCCAAGTGAAGCATCTTATTCAAAAATAAAGTACCAAGGAATAAAAATTAAAATCGTATACATTACACCCAAACACCGCAACGCTCGAGTTTGAAACATACAGGTAACCTGCTGTACTGAACTTTCTGAGTAAATTGAGGGCGCATTTGCAAACGATGGCGCTTAGCGAAATTTGATTGGCTAAATCTATGGTAGCCATCTTGGATGGTACACACACACAGTTCTGCGTATTTCGAACATCGAATACATTGCGGTTAGCGCTCTAGTATTCTTATTATACCTCTATGGTAATAAAACACATACAAGCGTTAGTTGGCGTTCTACACTAGCTGCGTAGAGCGTATCGTTTTTTACGCTCTCAATGAGCGTTGTTGGCTCTCTTGTTCTATTTATACTCTTTGATGTAACATGCATTTGGCAGAAACACATGCGTGATCTTAAATTTGTCACGCATTTAGTCCATGCATGACGACGAATAATCACGAATTCAGGGAAAATATATTTAAAATTAGAAGAAATTAGTTTTATTAAAATTATA